GAAACGACGTTTAATGTCAAGCCCGAAGCATCGTAGCTTCGCTTGGGTTCAGTTGACATCAATGGCGAATAACGCACACATATGTCACGCAATCTCCGCAAATAAATAAATAGATACCGCGCCAGACGCGGGTATATTTAACAGTCTTGTATTTATAGTGAACTCGAATTATCTTCAACAGTACACAAATTTGTTTCTGGTAATGAGTCGAGTTTGTTTCAAACATTACAAACACCTGATATAACAATTAGAATCTGGATATTTCCAACGGCAGAATTATTTTTCTCGTGATAATGGAGCTGGTTAATTTTCAATATATCATACGTTTCTTTTGAGTAATGAAACCGTTTTGTTTTAACATGTACAAGCATTTGTTCCATTTGATAGAACTGGTTTATTTCCAACATTACAGACATGTTACAGAAAAGCTAAAACTGGATTATTTCTAACAGTTGTATCAGGTAGCTGAACTGGTTTTAAAGAGAACAAACTTTTGTTCCTGGTACCGAAGCTGGTTTGCTTCTATTAATACAGACATTTGTTTTTGGTAATTTAACTAGTTTTTGTTGTTGTTTGGCGGGAACAGTCCCTATTTTCAAATACGCGTCTCAGTGTTCAGAAAAATGTCTAAAGTACAAGGTGTATTATATTACCTAAATGGAAATTTGGGTAATATAAGAAATTTTAGGCCTAACAATACGGATATAAATTAACAAAAGTTAGGATGGAATATTACTGGAAAACACGTTCATTTAGAGGAGTGTGTCTTGGTATGTCACGATTAGAATAGTGAATAAATTGATGTTTTGATTAGAGAGGGGGGGGGGTTGTAAGTTGATGGTGGAACGTTGTATGCTAAGCTTAATACAGATCGGAAGCTCATACCCTGGTGATTCGTGGTCGGGTGGGTTAAGTAACTACTGTTGAAAATGAAAGTAAAGTTTAATTAGCAGCCTTCGATTGTTTGTTATTAAGCACTAAGTTATAAAATGGAATATCTGTGCTGTGCTAATCGCAGGGATCGAATCCTTAATTTGATAATTATTAAATTTTATGCCTATCGATAAGTGAGCCTTTATGCTTATCATAGAGGCATCAGGAACTACATTCTTGGAACATTTGGTACGTAAATGTTCGATTAATATGTTGACTCTGATTCTGGGGCATAATTTGACATCAAGAATTCGCGATGCGGTTCTCATTCACACCTTTAAAAAATGTTCCAGTCATAGTGCAAAAAAAATACCTTCTTAAAAATCAGTACACAGAACATCATTAGACGCTTTAAAGTTAAAGGTAAATTTTTATCTTGATACTACAGATACCGTTTACACGTAATGAGAATAATGCTATATTATTATCGAAAGATAATTTAATAGTATTTTATAGCAGTGCTTGAAGTGGGGCGAGATGCCATCACAATTTTTTTCAGGAGGGCCCAAAACCATTCTGTTACCTTTTAGTAGACTGTAAGCTTCTTAGAAGGGAAAGGTTTAATAGGTGATGCAATAAATATTTACGATGGTAAGGGACTGAAGAGAAAACTATATATTTTTTTCTTAAAATCCTTGTAAGAGTGAAGCATGAATGAGACACAGTAGTACACAGAGGGAGCAAATGAACCCTCTTGCTATAGGCTCGGTCGGTTTGACCGAATTCGTAATCAAAAAGTAACCATCGGAATTTCCATACTATAACCCGTAAAAGTATACATCTGTTTATATTTAATTTTATTGTTCGATTTCCATTTGAATCGTGTCTAACTAATAATCCCACCACATAAGTTGTAAATCATTCAGCGAACCCGCAACTCATGTTTCCATATCGAATTACATAACGCACGAGCTGCTCGCGAGTGAGTATACTCCTGAAGAAGTTTTATTATTTTCTTTTCATTATCTTACTTAACCTAACCTAATAAGTTTCATAAATTATCGTTCAGCCGTCAGGTTGAAAACCTTCACTACCAATTACTCAAACAGCTATATTAAAATCGAAAGTCATAGAATTCACTGAGGTTTTGTTTTCTGTGAATCATTTCTTTAACCTAAGAGTTAAAGGCTGTGAGATGCTATTTCTCAACACAAGTGCTGTTTATTCTTAAAAGAAAAAAAAAGGTCGCCATGGACAGGTGGTTAGGGCACTCGCAATCTGTGAATCGCAGGTTCGAATCCTCATCGCCGAATATGCTCGCCCTTTCAGCCGTGAAGGCGTTATAACGTCACAGTCAATCCCACTATTCGTTGGTCAAAGAGTAGCCCAAGAGTTTGCGGTGGGTGATGATGACTAGCTGCCTTCCCTCTAGTCTTTCACTACTAAATTAGGTATGGCTATCGCAGATAGCCCTCGTGTAGCTTTGCGCGAAATTCAATTCAAACGAAGCCGAATACTCTTCTCTCCTATTTCAAACACTAATTATACACTAATAACCACAAACAAATGGTACTAGCAGTTAAGTAGGATTATAACCACAGTACCACAAACACACAATAGGTGATAGGAGTGAATAAAAATTATAATCAGAAACAGACACTAAATACTATTAGTGAAGCAGAATTAATACCCAAACACCACAAACGGACAGTACTCGTAGTAAAGTACAATTTTAACAACACCACAAACGGACGGTACTAGTAGTAAAGTACAATTATAACCCAACACCACAAACGGACGGTACTAGTAGGAAAGTACAATTATAACCCAATACCACAAGCGGACGGTATTAGTAGTGAAGTACAATTATAACCCAATACCACAAACGGACGGTATTAGTAGTAAAGTACAATTATAACCCAACACCACAAACGGACGGTATTAGTAGTAAAGTACAATTATAACCCAACACCACAAACGGACGGTATTAGTAGTAAAGTACAATTATAACCCAATACCACAAACGGACGGTATTAGTAGTAAAGTACAATTATAACCCAACACCACAAACGGACGGTACTGATAGTGAAGTAGAACTATAATCTCAACACCACAAACAGATACTGGAAGTGAAACAGAATCATAACCTCAACACTACAGACTGGCACTGTTAGTAGTGAATCAGAATCATACCCATAACTTTCATGTGTTTTAAGTAACACCGTTTAATTATGTATAATTTTAAACACAAAATATTTATTAATTTCTTTAACAGATGGTGTTATGAATGGTTATGTCGATGTCAATACTTTTATCGTAGAAATTTTTATTTTAGAAACCTTTTCATTATATAAAAATATAAACTATTTGAAATTCTTTACTTAACCTCCTGCATAACTTCAAAAGCTGCAACATGTGAATATATAAATTCTGAATAAAACAGTCAGATTTGTATTTTTCTGAAAAATAAAACTCTTTGAAACCGTATTATCACAGTTTTAGCGTATCAGACACTTATGCAGAAAATGATAGCTTGTCTTTGAACCATATATATCATTTCTGGTACTCTCTTGTTTTGAAAGCGCCATCTGATTTTTGTCAGAATTTCTTATCGCTTCTCGGTAGTACTAAAAAAGACACAGGGTGATGATTACTTTTAGAAGGGTGGCAACCCACTTGTGGTGGTGGTGGTGTGGGGTGTGTCAGATGAAACATTCGATCATTACGTTGACTGAGTGGTTGAGTTCTTTAGATGCTAGGAAAGTTTTGGATCTAAATGGCGTTTCTTACTTACTACTGGTTTTACAGTCGTCATCATTCACCAATGCTCATCATTAGCGACCATGAACCTTGCACGAAACAACCACTTTAGGTGACAGATGGGCTGTCAAAATGATTGATCAAAATGATATTCACTTTTAAAAAGAGATTAGTATTCTCGAGGGTTAAATAAATATAAACGAATCACATTGACTCCACTTTGGGCCTAGCCATTTCAACGATACTAGAAGTACGTACATTTTGGCATAATTATTTACGAGTTAAGCCTTATGGTACTATGGTAAAAAAAACGAATCACATTGACTCCACTTTAGGCTAGCCATTTCAACAATACTAGAATTACGTACATTTTGACATAATCATTTACGAGTTAAGCCTTATGGTGCTATGGTGAATAAAAAGAATCACATTGACTCCACTTTGGGCTAGTCATTTCAACGATACTAGAATTACGTACATTTTGGCATAATTATTTACGAGTTAAGCCTTATGGTACTATGGTAAAAAAACGAATCGCATTGACTCCATTTTAGGCTAGCCATTTCAACAATACTAGAATTACATACATTTTGGCATAATTATTTACGAGTTAAGCCTTATGGTACTATGGTAAAAAAAAAACAATAAAATATTTTGTAAAAGAAAAACATAGCAACATAACAACATTGTAAAGCTTTATACATTTCCTATTGTGTTTGTATTGAGCCCTGTTTTACTTGTTACAATTATCTTTCATATTTCTTTCAATATTAACACATGCTCAGCACTTTATAATGGATAGTTTTTTTCAATTCTAATGTAACAACATACTAAAAATTATTTATATATCATTGTTATTAATAATGTTTACTTTGTTTATCTGCAGTATTAAAAGTTAGTTCTTGATAAGTTTAATGAACAGTTAAGGTCCTAAATATTAACTCAGACACACCTTCTAATATTCATAATTATGTCTACAGAACGATAAAATCGTCACTAAACTAAACTTTAAAACAAACGAAAAAGAGTACCCATTATGTCTGATTATTTAAATACCTGATAGTTAACGTGTTCGGGTTGGGAAATTCAGAGTTTATGGTTCTTATCCTATTTCTGTTAACGCGCATGCGCACTTTGGGACCGTGCGTAACGTCAAATCCCACGACAAATCAGATAAAAGTAGCTCAGCAACTGGCGGTGGTTGCAGTTTACCAGTTGCCTTCCCTCTAGTCTATAAGTTCAAAATTACAGAGACCGCTATGCCAGATGATTTTTGTGTAACAAATTGATTATTAAAAACACAACCTCTTAGTTACTTGATTGGCCCTTTTTTAAAAACGACGCGAGGCTTTAATAACAATACATACCTTCGTCAACAACCTTGAAGTGAAAGAAGTCGCTAGTAGCGTTCACCATGCTGTCCAGGATGTAGTAAATGTTCATTCGATTAATGTCGCCTAAAGACAAATGAAAGAAAGTAATATAAATATAGCTTTTTTTCGTTCTCTGTAACTAAAATTATATTAAACAATAAATTCTGTCCAAAACTGAATACATATTTTAACATAGATTTAACACACACACATATATGACTATTACTTTGTACAATAGGAAACAATTAGGTGCGTATTTCGCCTGCCTTCTATAAATTATATATTGTTGTCAGAATAAACTGTTACTTTGACATTGTTCTTTTTTTAATTCTTTAAGTTGCCCCAGTAAATCACCTCCATTTCCAATGCAGGAATTAAACAGAAAAAAACCATCAAAATTTTTTGTAAACATTTATTTAGGATAGCTATTGTATTAACTCACAACACTGAAGATGTCCTAAAATGTTGAATAGTTCGTTGGATTTAACACAAGACATAAATTATTTAAGATTTAATATTAAACAGTATGTTTGACAAGACAAATGGCTTATTCTCGTCAAATGTTAAGAACTAAATCCAAAACATGCTGTAGAAAATACTTAATAAGATACACAGTTTATCCTGATCACAGGTAAAAACTTACGTTTCAAACAAGCTGTACAAAAAAGTTTAACAAGATACATAGTTTATCCTGATCAAAGGTGAAGACTTAAGCTTCAAACATGCTGTACAGAAGAATTGCATAAGCTTATTATGATCAGACTGTGTTCAGGAGCTAAGTTCAAAACATGTTGGACAAACGACTAAACAAGATACGTTGTTTATTTTTATTAGAACTGAATCCAAAATGAGCTGAACATAAGAGTTAAAAAAAGATTAATTCTAGCAGACAATGGGAAATAAGTAAAACATAGATTCTCATTGGTTGCGCAAGTAGATCAGTGATATAACTGATATTCTCACCATACAAGTTTTTGACACAACTTCACCAAATAGAAACCAAAACCAAAGAAGTTACACGTGAGCTTCTTTGATACCCGTACACAGGTTTGCCTTCACTTTTTCACATTGTATGTCTAAAGAGACTTGTATTGAAAGGTTTTAGACAGGTGTCTGACATCAATTCAAGCATTTCCACATCAGGAGTTAGGAATCTGATAATGGTCTCAAATTGACCAATAAGTTTGCAGTAGAAGTATTTTACCATAGATCACCAACTGATAAAAATTCATCCAGCGTAGAGAAACCACTGTTGTGAAGAAAATTCCATACTCCATTTAAATTCCTTAGATATATTTAGCATCGCCAAATAATTATCCAATTCGCTGGATGAAAATACAAGGGATATTAGGAAAGATATGGTAGAGAGGAGGAAAAAACTGGACAATGTGGTATTCTATAATATATATATATATAATTTTCTAGCTTTTACATTAGCTGTAAGAGTAAGTTTTCTTTGTTTAATGAATATATGCAAAGGTACTCGAGGGTTATCTGCACTAGCTGTCCCTAATTTGGAAGCGATTTACTTAGGGTAATGTAGTTAAAAAAACACACACTCTGCCTAACTCTTGGGCTACTCTTAATTAACGAATTGTTGGATTAAGCGTCACATTATAACGCTCCCACGACTGATAGAGCTTGCATGTTTGGTGATAGGTTTCGATCCTGCGATTCGAGCGTTAACTATCAATAATATTACTAAAATATAATATAGTCAGTAGGTAAAATTTGGTGGGGAATCAAGGAATTATAATGAATTACAGAGAATTTAATGACTTGTTGTTGAATTAAGAAAAAAGCTTAAGTTGATACAAAGACATAACAAAGTTGATCTAGTAATTGTTGACTTTGTCTTCTTTAGTGCAAAAGCTACGCAATGGGCTATCTGCCCTCTGTCCGCCGCGGGGAATCCAACCTTGGATTTTAGCGATGTAAAACCGGAAACCTATTGCTGATCTGGTAGTTGGAAAAAGAAAAAAACTTGCAAGGCTGCTATATCTGATAAATGTATTGAGCCAAAACCCGAGTTTTTACTGTTTGTTTCTGAAAGGATCTTCTCACTTTTACTATGTCGATACTGGCATAGTCTGTTGATTAAGGTTATAATATTTTTACAAGCATCCTCAAAATTATCAGAATTATTCTATTAATAGTCTTCCTTGTAATTGATTTGTAATCATATATTTTAGCTAGTGATTTATACTGTTTTAACTCTCGAGCCGTGTCCTCACAATCTAACCTGAGATTTGGGGGAAAACGAAGTCTGATAATGAATATTAGATCCACTGCAACAATTGCAAACATCTTTGATGAACGTTTCGTAATTACACATGTTCAATCTTCAGTAATTATACTAAAGATTATTCAGTTTGTTATTTTCATATATTTGCTGAAGATGGAATAGGTGTAATTCCGAAACATTCATTAAAGATGTTTACAATTGTTGCTATGGTTCTACTATTAAATAACCTGACATATTATAGCTCTTAATAAGCTTCTTAAAATATCATAATTTATTCACAAATAATACCATTAATAATTAATTAAATATCCCAATTAACATGTTTTCAAAAATTAAATAATTATTTACTCAATTACTATCCACTGGTATTATTTCTGACTTTCAACTAAAGTTAAGTCTACCAGTGGCACAGCGGCATGTCTGCGGACTTACACTGCTAGAAACTGTGTTTTGATACTCGTGGTGGGCAGAGAATAGATAGTCCATTGTGTAGCTTAGCTACAAACAAACTAAAGTTAATTATTGAGTAACTGACATGCAACATTCGCAAATATTAACCAAAATTATCAAATACTTATATAAACTGAAGTGGTTAATTACTGGAAAAGATATATATATATTTCAATTGTCAACCTAAATATACACACACACACACACATATATATAGCAATTAAACAAATTAGTTAAATATAAATCCCACCTATTAAATCTGAAATATTCTAAACAAAACTAACGAATAAACTATTATATAGACAAGACACCAGGGGTTAACCTTCAAACTCAAAAGCATTACTTATCAACTTTTTTTTTCTCACTTAGCTAATGTTTCCTTTATCTTTCGTGCTTTCAATGACTGATAAATACATTAAGAAAATCATTTGATTATTTTTTAATAGGAGAACAGAGAACAAGCCTATCTTCTGAATTGAGCCTCCGGTAACGAATATCAGACTCCTTCCAATCAAAGCTCACGTGTTTGTGTAAAAATCTGTGCATTAAGAACCTCATCGAATACGGAGACTATCGCCGTGGGAAGAAAACTTTGTACTATCAATATTGATTGAAAATTGGTTTGTAACATGTGGGGAGAACATTTTCTACGAGTCAAACAGCAATGGGAACCTGTTTTACAGATAACATTTGAAGACGTTTGATATTTTTGTCAATATCGTGACCAAATGAGCATGAGAAAAGTGAAGGAGGGGGGAGGGAGTTTATTGTATTTAATTTTTACGAAGCACCATCCTTTGAATGGAAATTGGTCGTCCTTTACCCTAGAAGAGAGAATTTGTACCACTCTTAGATCTATAACTTGTTTTCGTACCAAAAAAGCGTTTAATTTGAATTTTTTTGCAAAATAAATGAATTAATAAAATAATGTACAGCAAAATAAAAAACAAACAACTGCTTTCAGGCTAACTGGATGTATAAAATATATAAAACATTTCAATTCGGTGTCTGGGTATTTCGTATTTTCAGTCTGAACGGCACCATATATGATACATGGGTTAAACAGCCAAGCTCAGACACAGCCATCCCTAATTCAGAATTTCTGGCCAGATGGAGAGCAACCATTTAGTTGGCATCGCCGCCTAATATGCGACTGCTCTTAATCTTAAACAGTAGAGGTGACTGTTACAGCTATAAAAACCGCTAAAGCTGAAAATGCGGAGAGTGTTCGCGGCTTATCATGGATCAAACTTTGGACCTTCCGATACACAGCCCGCCACAGCAACCGCTAGTCCACATATTTAAAGGTATTTTGTGTTAAAACGAAATAAACAAATACGTAATGGTGAACTTGAATAAAACACTTTTGGTAATGTTACCAAGTTTTGAATCACTCAAACGCTACTAATCATTAATGAAGTTCAATAAATATATATAAAACGTTAGTTGATTTAAACTCCTGAGCCATTTTTTTCTCTCTTATTTGAACGGTTTATAGTGAGAGAACCGCTTCTTCTTAGAGCAAACAGAAAAAAAGTTACGTTGTATAAATGTATTTGCCTGTGAAGAAGGCCTACTATGAAGTATAAAGTGAATTTATTTCCAATAATACATTTTACTTCTGTGCTAGGTATAAATATATTTGTATTTATTGGAAATAGTTAATCACTCCCATAAATATCAAGGGATACACTAATTACTGTCTCAGATATTAAAGGCTGTACTAATCACAGTCTAAATTGTTAAATTATATATCAATTACTGTCTTACTCGTTAAGGAATGTACTAATCACTACCTCAAGTGTTAAGAGAAATATTAATCCTTTTCTCAGGTGTTAAGGGATGCATTAATCACTGTCTCAAGTGTTAATAGAAATATTAATACTTGTGTCAGGTGATGAGGGATGTACTAATCCTTGTCTCAGGTGTTAATAGAAATATTAATACTTGTGTCAGGTGATGAGGGATGTACTAATCCTTGTCTCAGGTGTTAAGGGATGTAATAATTACTTTCTCAAGTGTTAAGTGATGTAACAATACTGCCTCAAATGTTAAGAGAAATAATAATCCTTGTGTTAGGTGTTAAGGGATGTATTAATCACTGCATCGAGTGTTAAGAGAAACACCAATCCATATTTCAATGTGTTAAGGGATGTAATATTCACTACCTAAAATGTTAAGAGCAATACTAACCTTGTCTCAAGTGTTAAGGGATGTAACAATAACTGGTTAATGCGATAAGAAAAATACTAATCCTTATCTCAGATATTAATGGTTGTACTAATCACTGTGTCAAGTGTTAAAAGAAGCACTAATCCTTGTTTCGGGTGTTAAGGGATATAATATTCACTGCCTCAGTGGTTAAGTATTTTAATATTCACTGTCTCGA